TATACCAGTCTTTAGGGTTATCTATTAGTGGCAGATGCAAGAAAGACTTGATTAACTGGTTTCCATTGAAACATTTATAGGCAATCAGCTTCCTTCAACAGCTCTGGACAAACACTAGGTCTAGGACTAGACAGACCTTCAAAAAATTCAGAAACTATATCCAGTTTAGAAGAGATGACACAAGATATTGAAAACTGTTAAACAGGCAGGAATACAATTTTATTTTATTATTATTATTATTTTTTGGTATAACACTTCTGATCTTACTCCTCTTTAATTTTGCAGGAAGTAATAAAGGCAATAATGTTGAGACTGAAAGACAGATATAACTTACATATTTGAAAAACTAATACTTATTCTAATAGTTTCAGGAACTGTAAACGTTATGGCAATACCTCTCTAGACCCCACATTCAAGTTCTAATAAAACAGAGTAGCTGTTCCACAGCAGTGGCAGCTGCCAGGAACAAGCTGCAGCCACAAAACTGGATGTCTTGGACTGGACTAGTCAGAAATGAGCTTAATCTTAAAGGTTTAATTCAGCTGATTTCAGTCATTTAACAACTAGTACAATTTAAATGATTAATTTCTCACTTTAACTAACAGACACAAATAATGTTCATACACTCTGGGGAAACACAGCAAAACAATAGTGTACTCTGACCTTCCTGGTTCTTCTATACACAATGTCCAATATGTAGTATAACAACTATACGCTATGTGAAAAATGAAAAAGCTGGACTTCACAATGAAGGAAAAAAATCAAAATCATCAAACTCACAGATAAACTACATATTGCAACTCACAAACATGAACTTTAAAATAACTATCTAAATAAGTACAAGAATTGATAGAAACAGAAAGTATGGATAAACAGATGGTGAATCTCAACAGAGAAAGTAAAACTATTAGAATATAGAAACTGTCATCCGCAATACAAAATGAGATTAACACGAGAAATAAATTGAAAAAGAAACAATCTGTGAATTTAAAGACAGGTCAATAGATGTTATCTTAAAGGAAGTACAGTGTGAAAACAAATAAAAGCAACTGATTAGAAAGCCAATTATCAGTGGGAAAATACAAGGCAATCTAACATATATGTAATTAGAAAATATATCATGATTAACAAGTTTATGCCAAGAATTCAAGGTTATATTGACATTCAGAAATCAATGAATGTAATGTATCACATTAACAAGAATAAAAGATAAATCACATTGCTACTTATCAGATGCAAAAAAAGCATCAGACAAAATCTAACTCTCATTAATGATAAAATTTCTCAAGATCTAGAAATAAAACTCAATTTAAAAAATCTGATTTATCTCTGAATAACTTTCAGCTGACATCACACTTATTGATGAAATATTAGACATGCATCACCACTAAGATTGGAGACAAGGAAAGGTAGTATACTTTTTTTGTTTTTTACCATTTTTATTCAACATTGTATTTTTAAAGGTCCTAGTTATTGCATTAAAGTAAAAATAAGGAAGAAAGGGAGTGAGCAAAGGGCCAATGAAGAGAGGGAGAAGTAACAAGCGAGAAAAAAATAAGTATATTTTTTCTCAGACAACAAAATTATTTACATTTAGGAAAAATAATATATTAAAAATTCTAGATGTAATAGGTAAATTCTATGAGGTCTCAGGACTTAGGACCAATACAAAAATATATTGTATTTCTAAAAATTAGCCAAAAAATTGTAAAATAAAATTTAAAAATCAGAATCATTCATAATATTACTAAAAATACAACACTTAAGACCATATCTAATGAAAGCTGAGTAAGACCTCTACTCTGCGAACTAGAAGACTTCTTGAGAAAATTTAGAGATGACCTAAATAAATATTGTAAAGGTATCAATTATCCCCAACTTAGAGACAGTATGCAATTTCAATCAATATCTGAGCAGGCTTTTCTGTCATTACTCAAAAACAAATGCTAAAATTTCTATAGAAATATAACAAACCTAGATAGAACAGTCAAACATTATTGAAAAACAAAGAAAATTTGAGGATTTGTACCATCTGACTTCGAGACTTATTATAAAGCTACACCAGCCAAGTCTGTGATATGGGCATAAGATAAACAAATAGATGCAAGATGAAAAGGAGAGTCCAGAAATAACTCTGCATAGATACAATTGAATTGTTTTTGATAGGCAACAATGTAATTCACTGGAGGAAAAAAAAAAAAACTTTTCAGCAATTGGTGTATTGGTACAACCGAATAAATAATAGATGAAAAAATAAATTCCCTCTTCTTGATCCACTTTACACAAAAGTTAATTTGAAAGGACTCATAAACCTAAATATAGATGCTAAAATTATGATACATTTAAAAGCAAGTGTAGCAGTGTTATAGTAAGCAAGATCGTGAATGATGAGTAAGACTTCATAAGGCTTTGAGAGAAAACAGATTTAATTTAAAGAAAAATAATCCATGCTATAGGCCTCAAATGTAAATTCACTGTGTCAACAGGAAATCATGAGAATATAGCATTATTTCATTAGTGAGCACTGTCTCGTGCAAGCTATTTTGCTAAGTGCAAAGGATAAAAAGTAAAAACTCATGCAGTACCTCTACATTAGAACTCTCATTTCAATGCGGGAAAAAAAAAGATATAGGGAATGGCACACAACGCAATAAAATAAGTTTTACTGAAGTTAACTATAATCTCTGTGAAAACAATGAGAGTCTAGAAATTAATTCTATATGATTTTTTTACAAGATTTCCTAAGATGAACAGATTGAGTCTGGTGGCAGAATAAATTACATGTGAAAAAGTTCATATATGAACATGTGTGGGGGCTATTCATAAAACTATTAGCATTTGACATGGCTGCAGGAAGTATGTTTGGGAAAGAGTAACAGTAATTGAGAGTAAAAATGAAAGTGAGAACATTTTGTGAATGTCAAGTACACCATGCCAAAATAATTAAGATATATTAAATCGTCAATTTACATAATTTTTAATATTACAAAATCCTTTAAGGGGTGTTCTATGTTTCCTATTTTACACATGTGGAAAAAAGCCAAGGAGGTTTGATGTGCACATATTAAGTACTGTTAAGTCTTCTTGAATAATTGACTCATTATAATTATATAATGATCTTCTTAATCTCATTGATTTTATGATGAATTTTCTGTTCTTTAGCCAGCTTTGTTTGAAATTTATATATTACTACATCTTTTTTCTGATTACTGTTAGTGTGATATATCTTTCCCCATCTCTTTACTTTTAATCTACCTGAATCTTCATATTTAAAGTCATTTCTTATGGAAAGAATATCTGCTGGTAGTTTTTATCCACTCTGGTAACCTGTTTTACAAAATTTCTGTATTTAGACCATTTCCATTTAAGATATTAACATACTTTGATTAATATCGACCATGTTTTTAACTGTTATTCATTGCACTTGTTGTTTGTTTCTTGTTTTCTCAGATTTTAATAAAGTATTTTATATAATTTTATTTTATGCCTTTTTTTAGAATATTAATTATACTGTGTAAAAAACATTTTTAGTGCCTTTCCTAGAGGCTACAGTGTAGCTTAAACAATCCAAGCCCACCCTCAAATAACACTATGCTGCATCACATGTAATACTTTATAACAGAGTGTTCTTAATCCTTCCCTTCTATCCTTTGCAACATTGCTCTCATTTTTTTGCTTATTTATATGCTATGGTCACCAAATATATTTTCATTAATAGTATGGCAAATGAAGTTTCCCTTTATATCAATTAAGAATAATAAAATAAAAGATTTTATTTTAGCTTTATTTATTTCTTCTCTGATGCTCTCACCATTTTTTATAAATATACAGTTTCTGAACTGTATCATTATTCTTCTCCCTGAATAACTTCTTTAACATTTCTTTGGGCTGGTTCATTGGCAATAAATTACATGTTTTGTTTGTCTAAGAAAGTCTGGTGTTTTGTTTGTTTGTTTGTTTGTTTCCAAGATTTTTTCTTTACAGTTAGTTTTCTATGGTTTGTATATGGCATGCTTAAATGTAAATTTTTGGTGTTTATCCTTCTTGGTGTTCTCTGAGCTTCCAGGATCTGTGGCTACATATCTGTCATTAATTTTGAAAACAGCCATTATTACTTCAAATATTTACTCTGTTCTGATCTCTTTTTCTTCTACTTTTGGTAATCCAATTATATATATGTTATACACTTACAAATTGTCTCATAACCCTTGAATGTTCTGGATCATGTTATCCCATTCTTATTTCTCTTTGTATTTTAACATGGAATCTCTCTATGGGGCTATCTTCAAGCCCATTGATTATTTTCTTCATTTATGTCAAGTTTACTGATCAGCTCTTCAAAGGCATTCTTTATCTTTTCTTTTTATTTCTAGAATTTTCTTTTTATTCATTCTTTGGATTTTATCTCTTTGCTTATATTACCTATTATTTTTTGCTTGTTGTTTATCTTTTTATAAAATCTTAAACATATTAATTATAGTTATCTCAAATTCTCTAACAATTTCAATATTGGTGTCATATCTATTTTGTGTTCTGATTTTTGCTCCATCTCTTTAGGTGATTTTGTTTATTGTTTTTTTTTTAATTTTCTTTAAACAAGGCTTTTAATTTTCTGTTAAACAATAAACATGATTTATCTTTTGATAGGAACTGACATAAATATGCCTCTAGTGTAAGGATTTATTTTAATATCGGTAGGACTTGGGCTACATTTAATGTTTGCTATCATTGTAGGTGTTACAGGCTTTAAATTTCTTTAGTTTTCTTGTCTCCTCTGTTGCCTTTGGGCACCCCTTTTTAGATATAATCCATGTTCTGCAGTTCTGCCAGCTGCAAACCAATGTTACACTTGAACTCTGTTGATGAAGTGTAAGATACGAGAGACGGGAAACTCTCTGCAGTCATATAATTAAAATCAGTCTTTTAATGGACCTGTGTCTCGGGGCTGTGACCTTCACAAATGTTTCTTTTCTTTTCTTTTCTTTTCTTTTCTTTTTTTTTATTTGAAATTTTTATTTTAGGACTGCAAAAACAAAAACAAGCAAACGAACAACAAATAACTTGAAAATAGCTTGTCAAATGATGTAAATTCATCCTTTCCAGGAAAGCAGAAAGTAGACCATCCTGCTTCACTGCTGCTTGCACTCTGCTGGGTTTTGATCCTTCTTTGGGTCATAGTCTGGATCATTTTCCTCATCTCCTTCTTCTTCCCCTTCCTCATCCGCTTCTTCACCTTCTTCATCATAATCATCATCATCATCTTCAATAGCTTCTCCAGTAAAGTGTAACACTGATCTTGGGATTATACGCTCACGTAAAAAGTGACCAATTTCGAAGTCTGCAGCAAGGATAGCTTCAGCAGCATCATCCAGATCTCCACTCTCGGGAACTTCAGGAGGGGCAATGACTCTTTCTTTAATTTTTTTGCCCCTCCTGAAGTTCACAAATGTTTCTTAACTTCTTTTGGGTGAGGTGGGAAGGTGAGAGGTGGATGAACTCAGGAAAATATCTTTCCCTAAGGTGGAACAAGTTTCTGACAGGGGTTTTTGGTTTGTTTGTTTGTTTTTCTTTCCCAGAGACAGTCAGCCTTTGTTATCAGAAATGTTCTAGGCATATTTCACTTGGCTACCTTTCCCCCATCCTCTGCCAAAGCCACCAGGGGATCTTTCTCAAACCTTTACAGTGAAGTGCTGTTGGGGTTCCTAGAGTTAAAACCCACAAAAGTGTTGGGACCCCCTAAGTCTGTGGTTCCCAGGAGTTTCTATGATGCTAGTCCACACCCAGCCAGCAGCAATTCGTCAAAATTACCATTCAAATGTCTGTATTGCTCCAGTAACTTCTGCTTTCACCAGAAAACCAAATAGTTCTTTTTGGTTGGTTCAGCTATTTTCTCATTGTAATAAGCTTTTTACATGTTAGTGTTAAAACCAGCTTAGGGAATTTAAATGCCTACAAAATTTCCATTAAGTTAATTATTTTTCCTCTAAAATCATGGACTGATGAAACATTATTATAGAACTCCCCAACATTTTTAGTGTTGACAGTAGATAAATTAATTTTTTATTACTCTGGTGACAAAACATGGAATGGGCTGACATATTTGGAAAAGGGAAGTGATAGGAAGCTTTGGGAAAAATAATATTTGCAAGATTGTGAGACAGAATTCAGTTAGGTAGAAATAAAGACACCAGAAATTTAAAAATGGAGTTTAAGCCCAGAAAAATATGAAGTAAAATCAATAAAAATATTTAGCTGTAGCTAATAAGGGAGGCAGAATCAAGGCCAATTATGACAATTCTCATTTGGACAAGGTGTCTACTTGAAGATTATCCAAAATAAATGAACAATTACATTCATATATATTATTATAATTGTCCCAAAAGTATTTTCTATGGACAAATAAATAGTGCTGATGAATAAGCTCATTGGGGATGTCTTGATACAACTCAGTTAACAAAGCAGATGGGACATTTATCACACGTTTGTTATATGAATCAGAAAAATCGCCTTTATATTTCATTATATTTGGTGTTTAGAATCTCTGATTGAGACCATATTCAATTGCTTTATATTAAAATTATCAATAGACTTTGAGAATTGTTCTAGTTTAACTACTACTATTTTGAAAACAAAAGTAAATTTTAAAAACTTATTTTTATTACTAGAAAATAGATTGCTTCAGGTAGGGTAATAAAGCCTGCAGAGCCTCAGCAAGAAACAAAGAAAAATCCTTCTGGCCACCACTTTCACACTCACTATGTTGGACTTGTAAATCCTGACACAGTAGAGGCAAAAATATTCAATTATCATTATGCTTCTGTTTGTGCATGCATAACATCTTTCTTTAGTTCTGGTTAGAAAGCTTCTTAAAAATAGACCAGCTTCTCTTGAAAGCTTAAAATAATTTTTAAAAGGCCATCATCAAAAACTCCTTTTCTTCTTACAGAAATATCTGGCACAATTGCTTTGCTTTGCTTTGTTTTTGACATTTTCAGTTTGTCATAAAGCATATGAATTTTATCAACCATACTCCCACATACCATTGATTTATAAGAAATTATTTTGCAACTTACTATTTTCATCCCTTGACTAATTAAATTTCCATCAAGGACAAGATCTCCAAGTAAATTCTGACATGATGTTATTATTAACTCTATAGTAACTTCTATTAATAACTTACATATTAAAACTTTAAAATATGCAATGTTTAATTTAAATATTTGAAAACCAGTTTTGATTTCATCATAAATAGCAAAGTGGAAACTTTTCATTTACAAACTAAGAATTGTGATGTCTATAATTTTATAAATCAGATTACAACTATAATCTTTTACAAATGGTATTATTCCCTATTAGTTAACAGTTAAACAGAAAACCAGCGTATACAATCTCCTGCCTTTTGTCAAGATTCAAAAAACTAAAAACTGAATTAAGACAGTTTGCACTCTTCAGTGAAGCAGAAAAAACTAATTGTCTGTTTGGTTGCCTTTATCATTTGAAACACATGGGAAATGAATGTTATTGATGTGTACATCAACACTGTAGAGGTTAAAATCATTTTTCCAGTAGCTACTCTGGAAATCATCCAAGATAAAGCTTATGAATTTGCATAATAAGATAACAGTAATAAAGAGTAGGCAATGTATATCACTAAAAATTTAAAGCCAACCTTTCCTATAACCCTCCTAATACTAGGTAATTGTGTTTCATTATTTAGATATCTGAATATTTAGATATCTAGTTCAATGTGAAATTTCTTTAAAAAAAGAAAACAAATTGGCAGGTGTGAATATTAATTTAGAATTCTTAATATTTTAATGACAACATAGGAGATTTTATTCAAATTATTAAAATATTGAAAATATACACTCCATTTCACTATGGAGTACAATGTCTGCTTCATGCCATTTATTTGTACTAGAACTCAACTGTCATCAATTGTTGACAACTTCTGTTCTTCAGCAGAGTACTCCACAGAAGAAAGTTCCACATTCTCCCATTACTATTTATTCCAAAATATTTCAACATTGATTGAGTATATTTTAGCATATTTTTGTTTTATTTATTTGGCACTTATGATCTAAGTTGTTTATTTAGTAATCTTTTGCTTGTACTTATACTTCTTTTTTCCTAGATGATAATCTCTTTGAGAGCAGTGACCACATCTTCATTTATTTATTTATTCATTCATCCATACAATAAATGTTTAAAAGTACTTAATACATGCCAGGAAAGGAGCTAAAATAGATTAACATAATGGCCAAGAAAAAGACTGTCTTTTAAATGGGAGGGTCTATTTTACACTTCTTTGTACCTATTAATATGATAAAAATTAGAAAGCCTTTTCAAATATTTACTTTTTTAATCTCAAGTTCTACATAGTTAATTTTAACACAGAATTTTCTGACACTGAATGGAAGAAAATTCCTTTTCAAGTATTACTATATTAAAGAAATGGGCAAATTTTATTTGAAATAATAAATATGAAGAACGACAATTCTTACAATTGCCAGGAAAACTAGAATGTGCTTCTGAATTTTTTTTGTCATTCTCCTAAGAATAAAATTTACATAGATTAGAATTTTAATATTTAAGTAGGAGAGATTTGGAGTGGTCAGTTAGGCAATTTATATACCTGAATATATTCAGAATTCATCTACTCCATTGTTGCTATTTTCTTAATTTTGTCATTACCTAATCTCTAGAACTACCATCTTCTTCAAATTATAACTTAAATAATGTAAAAAATAAATGTTATGTTGTAAAAAAATTTTTGGAAAGTTCATCTTCCATTTTATATCTAAGGGGGAAAAACCCAATAGAAATGACATAGGATAAGGTAAAGGGAACTGGTCGAGCAATGAGAATAGGGTTAAGTCATTTTAAAAGAGAAAAGCAATATAGAAGGACTGCTGATCATTGGGCTGATAATTATTTTGCTTAATGAGATAAAAATTTTTAAGAAAATATACATACAGTAGTCCCCATTACCCATGAGAGATACATTCCAAGACCCATAGTGGATGCCTGACACCTCAGCTAGTACCAAACTCTGCATATGCTGTTTTCTGTGATGAAGTTTAATTCATAAATTAGGCACAGGAAGAGAATAACAACAATAAATAAGAATAAAATAGAACTATTTTAACGATATACAGTAATGAAAGTTTTGGAAATGTGAGCTCTCTCTCTCAAAATATCTCATTGTACAGTTCCATAAATAACTGAAACCACAGAGAGTGAAACCATGTATAAGGGGGGATTACTTGTACCTAATATTTTACTATAACCCAAAATACATTAATGTTTATTTTTTCATTGCATCTTTGCAGTGGGACCAAGACCCTGTTTGTGAATATGGCTCTCCAGAATGGAAACCTGATTATCTTTTTGTGTGTAAAAAATCATTAATTGTCTGGGTGTGGTGGCTCACACTTGTGATCCCAGCACTCTGGGAGGCCAAAGCGGGAGGATCTTCTGAGGCCAGGAGTTGGATACTACTCTGGGCAACATAGTGAGAACTCCCACCCTGCCTGCCCCATCTCTACAAAATAAAAATAAATTAGTAAATAAACACTAATTATGTATTCATTTGGGCTATTTAAGACTAGTTACAAAACAATTTGAATGCAGAATCGATATGGAATATCATGAATTTCTTCCCCAAACTTTTACAGTTCCCTGACCAGATTTAATTAGGTATGTGTGTGTTTGGGGGGGGTGTGTGTGTGTGTGTGTGTTCCTTCTGTCTGTTTTACCTTTTCCAGAGTGATGATTCCTCATTAAGTCAAAGGGTGTGTCTATATATCTGGGTGGGTGTGGGTCATTTATGTTTCCAGGGTGATTCCAAAGCATTCAACTTAATTTTCATAGACATAACTTCTTTGCATTATCAATTTATGCAATAGTTAATTAAATTACAATTAGCTAACATTTGTTGAATGTTCTTACTGCCAATTTTTCATAGTGAATAATTTTAACACACTGCTTTAAGAGGTTTATTTGTACTAACACTTTTATTCCTCATAAGAACCCAATGGCATATTTACTATGATTAATCCTATTTAATAAATGAGGAAATACTATAAAACAGAGAAGTAACTTTCCCAAGACTATACAATGAATACGTGACAGCCCACAACTTAAATATAAATTCTCTAACTCTAGAGTCAGTGCTTTTAGCTGAGTCTAAAAAAAGTAAGTGCTTTTTCTAAGGTTGTTATGCAACCCCCTAACTAGCATACATAGGTTTGCAAATAGGCATAAGTGACTCTTATTAAGCATCTAGCTCAAATGGTGGTGCAGATCACTCAAAGTCTTCCAGAAAGTAGCTTGCCATCATTAAAAATTTAGCAAGAGACATCATGCCTACAAAGAAAACTTAGTCGTCATGTCACAAAGAAAACTGAAAATGTCCATTAATTCAACAAGCT